ATTGCCATTTTCAGGCTCAACAAGTTAATTTACCAGAGGGTAACATCCCATTACCGTAAATCCCTGGTAAGTCGAGCCCTGGGAAGCCCGGGACAGAGCTCCAGCGCCGCCTGTCCGCTCGCACACTGCACCCGCTGCAGGATGCTCGGAAGAGCCGGGCCCTGAGGCTCGCTCGGCTCGGCGCGCGAAGGGCTCGGCACGACGTTTTTATGTGAATGGAACCAACGATGGATGGTTTATGGATGGAAAATCCTATTAAAATGGATGAGGTACCATTTTGGGAAACCTTCATATAGTGATTTAATGATTTTTCTTGTGGGACATGGTGATTTCATATCATGGGACATGGATGGACATGGCTATTTAATGATAGAATATCATGAGACATAGTGGTTTATTGATAGAACACGATCACTAAAAGTGAGTATCACGGGAATCTTGTGGGAATAATATTGCCATAAACTGTGGTAAATCACCACTTGATAGCTAAATCATGAGAACTCCAAAGTAAATAGGCCATCGCTTGCATTGCAACTGCATTTTGATGGTGTGTGTTTTGAACAACAAATGGGAATGAATATCATGTAAAATGGTGATTTAACCACTAATAATGCTGACTCAATTGGATATTATATAAACATGGGAATTAATGGGGTAGACCCTTCGGTAATTCAAAAAACTATGGGGAAATCATGGAATAACATGGAAAACAGCTTCCATAGCAAACTGCAACAAATTACCATAGGGTATTAAAATATATATATATATGCTTCCAACATGTTTCAACATCGTGAGAGATGTGTTTTTCTTATTCCAGAAAGATCACCATAGAATAATTTCAATTGATGATGGGCAAACAATAATTTTCCTTCCATACATGAGGCGCTACCAAGATACTTCTGCCTTACCTGAGACGGAAATAAGGAAATCAACAATAATCATCACAGCATGTTTTACACAAATATGATATGATGATTAGATCATGGGTTAACAAGGAGACAAACAACAAAGGATAAAGGGCGTGCAGTTGGCTCCAGCTAAGTTCACAATCTATACAAACTTGATTCAATATTTAAGAGTTGTACCTGACCTAAGTTTATGATAGTTTATGGCTCTTTAACATCTAATTTGTCTAGCTTACTTTCCTTAGTTTGTGCGTGTGTGAATGTGAATGATAAAACATGTTAACCAAGGCAAAAAAGGTTGACAAATGGGGACTTCAACAACAGCAAATGGGATTTACCATACTGTGCCCGTGTTTGTCCGGAAAGTGGGTATACACCCCAAAAAAATGCAAAATTGTGTAGCTAAACTATGACCAACCATCATAAACATCCATATCCAAGGCTTCATCAGTTTCCATATAAAATCTGGAGTGTATCCAGTATAACCCCATTTTCCGACAAAGCCATTGGCAACCAGTGGAGCATCTCTGGGTCTCAGGACCATTGGCGCTTCAGCCACCAGACCATGATAAAGCCTCGGTGACATAGGCATTTCACGAGACAAGAATCGAAGGTGAAGCAGCCGGTAAACAAGACATTCCAAATAAGATACCATCCAGTAAATTAACATAGACCCTGCCAGATAGGGGTTGGAAGATTAGTTCCCATTAACAATTGGCTATTTAGGGTCCAACTGTTTATTTACCAAAGGGTATTTGATTATTACCATGTTTGGTTTGATTACCCATGTTTTGATGGGAAATCCATCATGTATTCTCTAGGAATAAAACACGGGAAATCCACCATGTATAGATGATTCTCCCATGGAAACCCTGCATTTATAGAGATATGTCCCATTGCCACGTTTGATTGCCAGTACCTAATTATGTCCTTTACTGGCAGTGATACCGGGTTCTTCCAAAAAAACAGCCATCCCATGAAGTACCACACCACAGAGGTCATGCCCCCCCCGTCCCCCAATTCAATGTTGTCTTCTGAATTTTGTGTTTGGCGGCCTTCAAAAAAAACAACCATTTCTGTTGATGATGCTCGGCACTTCCGATCACAACATTGAAGTTGGGGGTTGCGGGGGTAAGCAGGGTATCTCTGTGGTTTCCTGTGGATGGCTGTTTTTTTGAAGAGCCCGGTATCCCCAGATATTCTACCAGTGAAATCCCTAGATATTCTACCAGTGATATCCCGATGTCCCTATTGTTCTAGACTGTCAATATCTACCGTTAGTCTTATTTTATCCATCGACATCCATAGTTACTGAATGAATAGATTGAATAGATACAAATTTTGGAACATCAAAGACCATTCAGTAACTATAGATATAATATGGATAAGATATACATCAAAATTTGGATATCTATTGAATGATATCCAGTATCCAAAGATATAATATCCAAAGACCATTTGATGTTTATTCGTTCCTCAAAGATGAGCTTCGATGGTCGGTCATCCAACGACCTGTGGGGCAAAGTCATCGCACTGCCATAGCAATGTTCGTCACGTATCATCGACCGCTACCCTCTGGTAAACTAACATAGCTATTGAAAATGGCCATTTATAGTGAGTTTTCCCATTAAAAATGGTGATTTTCTATAGTTATGTTAGTTTACCAGAGGGTATTAAAAAATCCATATTGTTGAATTCTCCTGAAAATCACCAGAAAATCCAAGTCCCATTCTGGTTGGTGGTTGACCTACCCCTCTGAAAAATATGAAAGTCAATGGGAAGGATTATCCCATATATTATGGAACATAAAACATGTTTGAAACCACCAATCAGATTAATTTCCATTCATATCCCTATTCTTCCCTATTCTTCTTGGTTGAATCCCCCGTTCTTCACCAGAAAATCCCATGACAATTCCATGCATTTTGCCGAAAACAACGGCACCAGATCTGAATCGGTTGGTTGGGCAACTTCTCCAAATTCAGCTTCGTGGAAACGATGGAGATCTCCAAGGCGCCCAAATCCTGTCCCAGCATTCTACGGAGATATGATGGGAATATGATGTGGATATAACTATATATAGCTATAAATAACTATACAGAGCTAAATCAACAACATAATATAGTTGTTTAATGTTATTTAAAGTATTTGAACATGGGGAATTTAGCCGCAAATTTTGATGTTCCCTTCAAGAAATCCATTGACACATTCAACATCTATTGATTTCTACTACTGATCACATGGGGGATACTTAAGCATTTGAAATGAAAAGGTGCGGTGACTTGGTGACTTGCTGGGTTTACCACTTGGATCCACATCCAAAAAGATCCTTTTTTTAGCTTTGTGACTTCAAGCGGATACCCTCTGGTAAACTAACATATAGCTATTGGAAATGGCCATAGAAATAGTGGATTTTCCCATTAAACATGGTGATTTTCCCATTAAACATGGTGATTTTCCATAGCTATGGGACAGTTTACCAGAGGGTAATCGTTCTGAACTTATCCCAAGTTAGGCCCAACATATCCCGGCTGAGGGCGACCGACCCGAGGTTTAGTAACGATCTGCTTTCAGCGGTGTTTCATCTTGGGATCGTGAAATCATGTGAAATCTGTAATCTTCCAGACTTCTTGACTTTACAATTCTACTGACGTTTGCAACACAATTTGAATCTCTATGAATTTCAACATGTCTCCTGGGGGCTCCGCAATAATTTATTGTCCCCGGAGATGGCACATGATGGCACTGGGAATCGATCGCGAATCTGCTCCATGTACGAATCTACCAACATCCATCCCACAATGGAAAGATCCAACCCATAACCGCCCAAGGAGTGTATACTGCTTCCACCGAACGGAAAACCATGTTGGGAGGTTTTTTTTGGGCCCAAAGCTAGAAATGTGGGAAGCCTGGAACAAGTAAATATAAATTATATAGATACATTATGTAATATAAATATGAAACACGTATATGTATATATACGTAATTTAAAACATCCTTCATTGATACACGTTTCTATCTTTTCGGGGGTTGCTATATGCCATTCTGGATCCAACATATCCAGAATCCACATAAAAGACATCGGAGAGCTCGTCCGCCTCTACTCCAGCCGACACCTCCATCGGACGGAGCGAACATTGGGTGCTCGGTGCTAAGTCTATTGGTCTGGAAAATAAGTGAACACATACATATATAATAAACATAAATAATATTAATAACAACAATAACATTTAATAATAGTAATAGTAATACAAAAAAACATGATAATATTAAAATAAATAATATTAATAAGAATAATACTACATACATATATGTATATATATATATTAATATATATATATATGTATATATATATATATATGTACGTTCCATTCATTTGGGATGTAATGTAGGATATGGCGCCATTAATTTGGGGTAATTATAATGATCCATAATTACTGACAATTAATTATTGTGCTCACTCACTGCATCTTTTGCCGTGCCACCGAGTCTCAGGTTTTGTTCGTGAGACCAATGTCTCGCCAGTGATACTGCCGATTTTCGGCCAAACTTGCAGTAGCTAAACTTTCATGGTAGAAAGCAGTTTCAAATTCATATACTTTATATCATTCAAGCTTCATGGGAGAAGCCAGCCAAACCCTCATGGTAGAGGTAAACCAACGAAAAGGAAATGAACTGCCAGAAAAATTTTTCAGCACCAGTGTTCCTTCCGTCCCACAAAGGGTGGGTGTGGTTTTGGGCCTTAAAGCTTAGAGCCTATATACAACGGTGTCACTGGATTCCATTCGTACCGCACAAAATGTTCTAAGAACTATCTTGTGCTCACTCACTGCATCTTTTGCCGTGCCACCGAGTCTCAGGTTTTGTTCGTGAGACCAATGTCTCGCCAGTGATACTGCCGATTTTCGGCCAAACTTGCAGTAGCTAAACTTTCATGGTAGAAAGCAGTTTCAAATTCATATACTTTATATCATTCAAGCTTCATGGGAGAAGCCAGCCAAACCCTCATGGTAGAGGTAAACCAACGAAAAGGAAATGAACTGCCAGAAAAATTTTTCAGCACCAGTGTTCCTTCCACGCACCCCAGCAAAGCGTTCACCCAGTGACTGGGTCCACAAAGTAAGAAGCTTCCAACATTCCTTTGGTTCTTTCTCCTAGCACTATACTAGGCAGGAAACTGAGGCCATCACTGATGTAAATTCGGGCAACGCGGGAGCTCTCCCACCTGCCTCGGATCAGTGCAGCCTCCATGGACTGCGTGCGCTGAAACAGCTCTGTTGCGCCTCCTCGTCGGAGGCTGTAAGGTCGAAAAGAAAATTTTTCCAGCCCAAAAATTGCACAAAGTGACGCAAAGCGCTTACGAAAGGCTGCGCCAGTTCCAGACCATAAGGGTAAAGCTAAGAGACCCAGCTGCTCTTTGGCTTTGACTAGGGCACGTAGGGTTTCTAAGGTGATACCATCAGTGATACTAATTGCTTCTGTAGCAGCATTGCGTTTTCCTGACTTTGTTGATTTCAACGAGCAGATTCCAGACTTCGCCCCTAGTAACAAGTCACTTGCATTCAAAGCTAAGAGCTCACCCGTCCGGAGTAAACAATGAAATCCAAGCAGCAAAAGGCCACTCATATCAAGATGGCCTAGCATTGCCTCATAGGCTGCTAAACCACGAACTAGCCTCATAGTCAAAGGTGGCGCCCTTGCTGGCGCTTCCAGACGCCTCCAAATACTGAAAAGCTTCCAAGCATGGGGGATACGCCTTTTGACCCAGGGGAGGAAGAAGTGCAGTGATGAGAGGCCGTCTCCAATGGTCAGAAGGGGTTCCCCTTGCTTCCACATCAAACGAACCCACTGACAAACTTGTGGGTCCAAATCGTTCTCATTTGCTGCCTTTTCCACGTATGGCAAGACCTTTCTGAGTGCTGTATAGTATCGCCTTTGAGTGGCAGGTGTCAGTGCAGCATCATCTAAGTCAAACTGGGACCTTTGTCTGGCCCTTTCAGCTCGTGAGAACTTTCCAGCCACCAACTTTACCATCAGCAATGCCGCGACATGAAATCAGTAGGGTTCTCAGTTGATTCCACATGCGCGATCACCAGGTGGAGTCCATGTGCTAACAGGGTAGCAGTTAACCGACGAAGAACCCTCTGTAGTTGTTTGCTTGAAGACCTGCCCTTGCTAACAATGCTCATGCAAATATAAGAGTCAGTAATATGGAAAATTCTGCAGTCATGAGATTTGAGTCGCTCCACCTGATACTTTACGCTTAAAAGCAGTGCTTCCAAGTCCAATACATTAATATGCGCTTTTCTTTTCCAAGGCTGAGAAAATATTGGTTCCCATGTCCACCAGTTAGCTTGAACAGATTGCCGGGGAAAAACTTTGCTGTTGAGAACTTCTCCGCTTGAGACCCTGATATCAGAACCAGTGTGATTTGTGCGTCGGAGGAGCAACCTGTTGAGATCTTCAGGGCAGCGATCCTTATCAACCAAAACTTTTGGAGGGGTCCCATAAAACAAACCTTTTCCCAGTGGGGCAACAAACCGTATGGGGGCCCGAAACCCTGGTGCGAGTCCCATCCTCTGTGCCAAATGTCTGTATGAAATTGAAGGCAGGTATCTTTTACAGCATGCCACCGCCATCAACACAAAACTGTAAATACTGAAACAGTCCCCCAAATAAGAGTTCCTTGCATCGCTGTATCCCACTGCATTTTGTTTGATTCGTGATGCCGGCCAAACCAATTCTGTATGTCTGTAACCGTATCCCAGAAGTAACTCTTTTTCATTTGCGTTAACCAATCGCCAAGAAGATTCACTTGTAAATAAATATTGCTGTTGGTATTGATAAGGGGGGTATCTAAATTGATCCTCCTTCCACCGATTGCGGGTGCTCTCATCGCACTTTTCCAACCCCGCCGGCCGTGGTGGCGGCGATTGGCGTGCCATGCTCTTCAAACAAGTGGGCAAAACACTTCCAGTTGAACCCCCTTTCCAAGTGAATCCATCAGCCACCCATTGATCCATTGAAGGATAAGCTGCCTCTGCAAGAACTTCTCGCCAGTAACGCTTTGACTCTATCCAGACATCGGGAAAAATTCCCTCCAGACTTTCACTGCTCCAGCAAAACCTTGGACGCCGCATAGGCACAGCGCTGACTGGGTCCAAAAGGTATGGCGTCACCCCCAGCCATTCGGAAATCTCCCGTGCCGCAGACTCATCCATTGATGCCACATTCTCGACCACCTCTTTTACCAAAACTTCACTTCCAAATTCTTCCTTCACCAGTTTGGTTATTCGTGGTATCTCGTAGAAAAGTTTGCTATTCTTTCCTTGTAGATTCTCTCGCCCAAACTTCACTTTTGACAGATCTGTACAAGGGAAGCCAGACCATATGTGCACTTCTAAAACTGTCAAGTATTTCCGGCTCCACTCCTTCACCAGCTCTCTAGTGACCAAGTGCACATCCTTCACCAGTTCAGTTCCTGGCCACCTTCGCAGTGTTACTCTGTTAGCTCCTTCGTCCATTTCTACCGCTATGCGGGCAGTGGGGAGGATACCAGCAATATCGTAACAACGAAAAGCCCCACCTATCCCGTTGAAAAGAGAGATCAATAATATTGGCGCTCTGTCGCCGGCCCCTGCTTGATCCAGAAATCGGGAAACCTCACAGAAGTCCCTGCCAGCCGTAGTCAGCGATCTTGCAATACCAACTGCGCCGCCACGTTCGGAAGCGTCAGAGGCCATGACCACTTGACTGACCTGAGCAGCTAAATTGCACCCTAGCAGCGGTGCCAGGAAAACCAGACTCTGCAACTCACGCCGAACTTCGGCTCTGAGGCGTTGTGTCACCTTGTCTTTTCCCCCAATAAGTTTCCATGTCGAGTCCAGCACGCTCATCGCCGGTCGCCTAAATTGGAGAGCGAAAATCCAACGCCCTGCTAGAATCTGCAAATGCTTCCTGTTGATAAATTTCTGTGCACAGACCCAAAGTGTTGTTTGTATCAGTTTCAGCAGCCGCTCCATGCTAACTCCCAGCAGCTTGTGATTTCCATCCACTTCAGCGCCCAATTCCACAATCACCTGCTCGCCACTGACTCTCTTCTTAGCTGAAGACAATGCACCAGCCTGTTCCCAGGCTCGCTCGGCTTCCTCATGACACATCTGCGCTGCCATGGTTGGATTGTTGGGTACTACCCTCTCCGCTGCAGCAAAATTGTCCAGGTACACATGCCACCAGTGTCTGTCTTCAGAATTGGCATGCAAGAGTACTTCGCTAAACCAGGGGGGGAGTGTTCTCCCTCGGGTGACCTGATGAAGAGGGCCGACATTGTTTCGCAACATGAGGTTTTCAGAGATTTCTTGCATGATTCCAACTGAATTATGCCAACCCATGGGTATAACATTGCAACAAAGGGCAAATTGGGTGTGAGGATCCCCGTTGATCAAAGTACCAGGCACAACAATGTTGAAACTGAGATACGGCTGCCAACATCGCGGAAGTCTAAAAAGATAGAACGCTGACGACATATCAGATTGAAAACAATTGAGAGTCTCCCCTTCATCCAAAACCAAACTTTGCCAAGAAGTAATGCTAGGAAGTGTACTACACCCTCCAACCAGCTGCATCTGAGTTGAGTTGCTTCCCACCAAGTTCATAATAAGTCGCAAAATTGGTCGCCCATCTTCAAGCGTTGTGGATTTGCTCACTCCGAAAAGACCATTTAGTATGGGAGTCCCATTGACAGCATAAACTTTATCCAGGGGAATCCAAGCGCATATATTCCTTTTAACCAGTTCTCGGGCAATCTCCAGCTTATCACTTTCTTTCATGTGGACCCTCCCCGGCATTCTTGGCAACTTTACATCACAGTGGTTAAGCAAAAGTTCTTCAGGATGCAACAAGAAACGCCGAGTCCTAGGTCCAACCCAATCCAACGCATCAACACATGCCCCATGCTCCCCCGGCGGCAAAGCCGGCAGCACTTGATCCAGGGTTAACTCCCGGCATATCGAAACCTCTTCACCCCCATAGCTGACCACCTTACTGCTGATGTCTTTTCGCCACGCTTCTTCCGTGCATGGACTGTCCTCAATGTCTTTGTGACACCGAGCTTCTACTCCACGCCTAATGGAGCCTGCTGCTTGAGCCTCAGCCAGGGACCAGCGCCCACAGCCCGGGCGTGGCACGGTTCCAGCTAAGGCATTCAAGCCAGTGAAAACCAAAAACATCCAAGCATCCACAGACCAGCGCCTAATGGCGTCATCGGTCATAGCTTCAGCTAAATTACAAGCCTGCATAGCAGCCACAAAAGGCCCAAGTTCTCCCTCACGGAGTGGGAAGGTCACCCCTCTGGCTCTGAAAGAGGGGGATCCGTCCTCGGGTGCACGGCAATTCTGCCAGCAACCAAAGAAACCATCTGTGAAACGTTCAAGCCCCAGCACGCAAGTTCCAGCGATCATCCACCAAGCAAGCACGCACCCAGCTCTTCTGAAGCTCGTGCAGGCCTCGATGGAGCCCCTAATTGTTGGGGTTGTTGCCAGCCCACTGCGCACCTGCCCGCAAAATGCGGGGGCTTCTCCATCAAGGGCGACTGTATCAACGTCTCTGTGATCCACTTCGGGATGCCCGGCAGATGCCAGCAACCTACCATCCACACCTGTAGGTTTTACTTGTCGGGGACCTTCTCTCGCTGCTTGTGGTCGCCCCCTGCCTCCTGGTTCGACTGTCCCTTCCATGTCTGCTTTCCTTTTCCTTTGCCTTTGTCGCCCTTCTTCCCTTTGGTTCTGTTGTTCTGGTTCCAGTTGTCTTCCCATTGTTGCTGTCCTTTTCCTCTGCCTTTTCCTCCTCCTCGCCAAGAGCCCGGCTCTGTGCCAGCTACTTGTGCGGCAAGCCTCGCATGTTTCCTTGCCCTCAACACAATGGCAGGGCCTGCCGCTGAATTGTCTTCGAACGGCAAGACTTCCAAGTGCCTCGCCGCTCCCCAGTGGCCGTCCAGCCCTGCTTGATGCAAGCTGACGAACCGCGAAGCCAAAAGGTCGCCGAGGGAATCCAGCTCCCCCGCCCTTAAGAGGTCTAGGGAATGAGCCAGGAAGTGAAGTTCCCTCAGCTGGGGGCACCCGGCTGCCAGCTGACTCTTGACCACAATTGAGTAGTATGAGGTCAGCCTGACCCCTTGGGTCGGGTCGTCCCCGTCGCGGTGAGCTATGGTCACCTTGGACGACTGGTCGAGTTTTTCTTTCGCGTGTTCGACCAACATCCTCATCACCGATCCTGGGCGCTTCATTGCCTTTTTCTTCAATGGCGGTTCCATCTTCCCTGAGTCCGATGAACTGCTGTCCTCTTCCTCCGAGCCGTCGCCGTAGTCTTTGCCTGAGCTGCTCGTCGCTGAGTCTCCCGAGCTTCCGCTCGATCCTCCTCCCGGATCTCCTCCTTCCCTTCTTTTTCTCTTCCTTCTTCTCTTCTTGCGGCTTTCCTTCTTCTTCTTCTTCCCCATGACCTTCGTAAGGATCGTGGCAAGCTGTCGGCCAGGGTCCTTGCTCCCCTTGCGGTCTTGACGTCTGTCTCTCCTCTCTTGGGCAGTCTCTGCGGCGCGAGCTAACAGCTGTTTCTGCAAATTGCCTGTAGTAGAAGCGTTTGTAACCTCCTCTGCACCCTTCTTCTCCGCTCGTCTCCTCTTCTTCACTTTCTTCGACTTGGACTTGGACGTAGGGGCTGCAACGAGGGCCGCCGGGCGGATGCCAGCCCCCATAATGGCCAGGGCCCCGTGATGGGCCTGAGTAGCCCTCTCTCCTTCCTCTGCCTTTCTCCTCCGGGGCTTCTCGGTTTTCACTTCCGGCGCCTCGGAGGGTGAGTAACCTGGAGATGACGAAACGTCTACAACCCGGTCCAAGTCGATGGGGTGCCCGGCTGTACCGCCAGCGCCCTTCAAGCCAGCTGCACCAACCATCCTGTCTCTTGCCTTCTCCAAACGCTCTCTCAGCCTCGCTCTGTCTGCTGCCCGTAACGCATCTCCTCCAGCAGTACCTTCTTCGCCTTCCTTCTGTTTCCCCGGCTGGGGCACCCTTAGAGCTCCCCTCCGGGGACGAGGCCCGGCAGGTTTGCCAGCCTCCCCAGGGGGCTCCTCTTCTGCTGCCTCCTCTCCTGGCCCTTCGTTGTCCACCGCCAGATTGATCTCCTCTAGCCACTTCCGTAGCTGCTTGACTGATGCAGGCGTCATGTAGGGGCGCTTGAATGCGTCCACACTGAACACCCGGAGGCGCCTGACATGCATCTGATAGTCGTCTTCTTGGCAACCTTCGGCTGCGCAGACATGCAAATAACCAGCCCGGCGGTTGAACCAGCTGGACAGAGCTTTGGCTATGTTGCCATCGGTGCAACCCAGGCTCTTTGCCAGCACCGAGAGCCCAGTAAATTCTATCGAACTTTCGACCACAAGAAAGCCAGCCCACAGATCTTCGTTGCCAAGGGCGACGTCCTCTTCCAGCTTGACCTCTATGATCATGCCCGGACGAAGGGCCAAGGCTGCCCATCCAACCGGCTCTCCGATGTGGAACTCCTGACCGTCTTCCCATGTGAACATGGTTAGATGCGGCGCTCAAGGGCACTACGCCCGTCAAGGGAAGGCTTCTGGTCCCAAAAGGTTCCAGGGGTCTTCCGATGCAACCTGATGTCCGGGTTCTCGACTGCACGATAAAGGCGCTGTCGCTTCCTCCCTGCTCTCTTAGATTTCTTCTTGACTCCTTGATCCTTTCGCCTTGGGATCTCACTTCGCTCTTCCCAATCTCGTTCTTCAGGCCGTGGATGAGGTTGATGTTCACGTGGGGGATATTTTGGCTCAGGCGGTTTCCTTGCCGGATCCGACTTGGGCCGTGTTTCGCACTTCTCCTCGTAAGCACGGTCCTCTTCCTCTGACTCTTCGCCCTCAGTGTAGCTATGCTCCGAGGGTTCTTCCTTCGCCCTTGCAGGTGGAGGAGGTGGTGCAGGGATGCTCCGGCCTCGGCTGCCAGCGGGGATCCCAGGCTCCGCCCGGCCCTGGTGCCGGTCCTCTTGAGACGCCCGAGATTTCTCAGCGCTCTTGAGGCTCGATCCCAATGTGCGCAGACCACGCACAGTCCGCACTGCGTACCACAGTGTCCTCGGCCAATTGTCGGAGCCCGGGATTAGGCCAAGGGGCCCCCAGCTCCAGGCCGATGGCCTCCCAACCTGCACAGGCCAAACACCAGGTGTCGGATCCCTGGGGGGCAACCTGCTTGCACTTCGCACAAACGACCATCAAACACCTACCTTAAAGCTTAGAGCCTATATACAACGGTGTCACTGGATTCCATTCGTACCGCACAAAATGTTCTAAGAACTATCTATTAATCTGGATCAAATATAGTAACTCACGAACCTGAAATAAGACATAAGGCCATGGAATTATTACCCTATAATTACTGAGACTTGTTTCCGTGTTGATCATCATTTTTCCTGTACTAGCATGGCCATTCATTTGGGGGCATACCCCATTTTCAAACAACTCCAGCCGATGTTTCTTTAATGTGTCTTTCATCTTTGCTCCAAAATCTAAGACATGACTTCTGCGTTCCACATTGGAGCTTTATAAGATCGGAGATTGATATGTGGGAGTGGGTGAAAGCATGTGAAAGCTGGATTGGATGAAAAGATCCAGGATGATCCAGGGCTTCCAAAGGCTTTGCCCTCAAGTTGGCAATCCACATTTCATAATTATTTAACATACATTACATATATGACTTCATGATTGCACACGGATTCAAGTTCATGATTCATTAGCATGCATATGGCAAGCCCCAAAACGGTAGAACAAAATGGAAACCTGCTCATTATCGGGGGAACATCATCCCTATCTTTTCAGGAGCTGTCAAAAACTAATTGCAGCTGATGTTAAAGCACACACGCCTTTTCTGGTCGGAAGTATTGATATCTTTGGGGTGCTGGATGGGACATATAGTCAAATTGTGGATGGAAGAAATCATGCACCAAATGGTAACCATTGGTAACTATGAAACACTGTACATACTGGACTACAATGGGATAAACCATCTACCAACTGATGCGGGATTTCTTCCATCCACAGCAACTTTTCTGCAACCCAGTTGATGTTTCTGGTATGAAATGCGTAAACCGGTCAACACCTCATCGTCTTTATGTGCAAGGTGCACCTGAATTCTTTGCTGCCATCCTGTATATGGCCCTACAAGTAGCATAAGAACAGCTTTTAAGGTGGCGGGCCACCCCGTCCCCGCTTAAGCAACAGTAGCATTTGAAAGCACATGTTGGGTTTAGAGGAAACAAAACAATGTGGATATGGGTAAAAATAGCATTGAATATCGGACCCCAAAGATATACAGTTCGTTTCTCAACGTGACAACGGTTTCATATCTTTGACCCACACACACATGTACATACATACATACATATATATATATAAATACAATGTAACTGCAAAACATGCTTTTAAAAAAAAAACATGTACCGTCCTATGTGCTGGTACCCGTTATATATCCATGATGTTTATTAAACATCGCTTTCTCGTCCATTTTCGCCATCTGGGCCCTCCAAGGGGCCCTGGCAGGCCACTCCAGCTTCACGGTTTCGCCCCAGAAGATCGTTGCGCCTGGACCTTGGAAATCTTGGAAATGGGTGGTGACACGACCTGGGAATGAGAAAAAAACACATGGGATGTTAATGGGATGTTAAAATTAATGGGACAGTGGGATGTTAATTAATATCAATGTTTAATATGTTTAATTTAGTGGGATGTAAATGTTAGTGTTAATGGGATGTTAATGGGATGTTAATGTTAATGGGATGTAACTTTGACACGACCTTTGACACATGGGATGTTAATGGGATGTTAATGGGATGTTAATGTTAATCTGGTTGGTGGTTGACCTACCCCTCTGAAAAAAATATGAAAGTCAGTTGGGATGATTATTCCCCAAATATGGAACAATAAAAAATGTTCCAAACCACCAACCAGCAATGTTTAATCTCAATCTCATGTCATTGGGATGTTCGTTTCTTATACATGTTCTGGTGGATTGAGCCATTGAGCAAAACAAACCCACCAACACATGGCAATGTACCCCCTGGTAAATTAACATAGACCCTGAAATTCACCAATGTTTAATGGAAACTAGTCTTCCAACCCCTATCTGCCAAGGTCTATGTTAATTTACTGGAGGGTAATTTTCTAATTTTCATAGACAAAATGGTGATTAACCAGTGGGCTTTTCATGGGAACAAGTTGAACAAGTCCCCCGTTGAATCCAACCTATGAGCCATCTTCAGCCAGATGTTTTTTTTTTGTCTTGGGAGCCCCCCAAGGCCTTGGCTCAGAGGCCCACGTGTTTTCACGGCCCTGCCATAGCCTTAGCGGGTTTTCCCACGCTTCAACCCGCGGGCTGCTGCTAGCAGTCTTGACCTCTGACGGTTTTGGGCAAGCCGTTACGTCCATTGCTCATTGAGCCCGTCTTTCCCGTGGACTTCTCTGAGGACATCCGGGATTTTGTGAATATTTCTTGGATTGCTGTGAACTGGTTCGCCCTGCAGCTTATTTTGCGATTTATCTTAACTGGTGCGCCCTGGATATTTCGCTTCATCTTCCTCATTGACTTTTTCACGGTGATCGGGCTTTCATGCGCATTGTCTACACCTTTGCCTTCCTTGTGTTCATCCTCTTTTTGGAGATTGTGACCGCCCAATACGACTCTTGCTACCAGGCGCCGGGCTTTGAGGCGTCAGAGGGCAAGTGCGAGGCGACAGTGGTTCTGTCACCGAAAGGGCTTGCGGATCCTACGTCCGGACCAACTTCGGAGGATCCACTGCATTCTCCAGCAACATCATTCCCGAGATCGCGATTTCCTGGGTCTGATCAAAGACAACATGACGGACAACACCCCGTGGAGGTGCTTGAGCTGTCGACAGCTGCGCAAGGCGACAGCTACGTATTGCTGCAATCAACCATGGCAAAATGTCATGGACGGATCCTATGTCCACCAGCCCCGCAGTTCCAATCAGTATGCACAGGATTGGGAGCAGGAGCGACCTTGGGGACAGAGATGGAGATCAGGATCGGCATCACCGCGCCAGCGAGTGCAACCACCACGACGGCGGCAGAAACAGCGGACAGGTGGCGACACACCACGAGGCAAATCCCAAGGCCGAGGCCAAAATCCCAACATAAGGGGAAAGGAGATCTCCAGCAGGCACAGCAGGTACCTTTACCTCCTCTACCTCCACCGTCCATGCCATGGCCGGGATACATGCCCATGATGATGCCGAATCAGATGCCGTTTGTGGCGCCCATGCAATCGATGCAGTTGTCTGGAGGAGCGTCTACGACAACGCCGGCAGCTGCGGGGAGCACGATGACTCCGGAACAGCTAGCACGAGAACAAAAGATGCAGGAACTGATGAATTACCTCAAACGCCGAGGACCAGATCTTCCACAAGATGTCTCCCAGAAGGTCCACGAGTTCACCAAGAAGGATGGGGTGCAAGCCAAAAAGGACCTACAAACGGCCGCCAAGGCCTTGGGAGAAGCGAAAGATGCATTGGAAGCAGCCCTGCAAGCCAGGACCAACCTCATCGCCTCCTGGAATACATTTCTGACGGATGCTGTCCGGACATGGAAGGAGTATGGAACCCTCTTCCAGACACAGGAAGCAGAGCATCAGGAACGCATCCAGATGGCCAAGGACATGTTCACCACGGCAAAGCTACAGGTCGACGAGGCCAAAACTGCAGTTGGCGAGGTGATCGAGGTCAACGACGAAGAGGAGGACTTAGCTGGTCCTTCCAATGCAGCAACCTCAGAGAAGATTTCGGAGAGCATGAAGTTCCTCACAACATCACTTCAACAATTCCAGCAGAAGGCGGAAGAGATCCACACAGAGGTTCAATCTTCCTTGAAGCGACCTCGGATAGTGCCACCGGAGAGTCACGACTCCCAGATGGCCCCGCCGAATGCAGAGCATCCAGAACATCCAGAAGGTGGTGGAGTTCCATCGGCAGGCTTACCAGCTGCTATGCAGCCTTTTGGTGTGGCCGCTCGACCATGACTGAAGTGTATGGCGGGCCCAGGCCGATCTGGACTGAGGAGGCGTATGGAACTATTCCATCTATCCTCAAATGGACACATAGCATCATCTACGAGCCGACCTTCAAGACTGAATGGCAAGCCAGAGAAACGGCTAGAGGGCTAGCCTTGGAAATGGCCCCTGACGGCATTCTGGAGCGATTGTCGGTCTCTATAACGAACACAGCTACACGACCCCAGCCTCTGAGACGCAAGGTGCCAAAGTCTGTCACTTTTGCTCTGGAGGATGATGCAGGTCGTGGCCAATTTTGTACCATGAATCAGCATTGTGATGCAGTGAATGTTCCGGGTAGTGTGACATATAAACCTGATCCTGCAGCACATGCTCAGCTACCAGATCCTGGTATGAACCCTGATGCACCTGATCGTGGACAGGGTCGCGGTCAGCAAACGCCTCTGAGTGACCGCCCATATTGGCAACAACAAGTATGGCAACGTTTACAAGAGGAAGGCGA